GTACGTGCTTTTATTTTTCTTTTCAATTAAGGTATGAAATGTTAAAAATATATTAATTTCACCACTATGATAATTAAGGAGGAATAGACACGCGTCGAAAGTTCAGGATGAAAACACCTTGCAATTTATAATTTCTAATTTGCAACATTTTGTTCAGTGGACCAGATACATATATTATGCAGAGAGCCAAAAACCGTTGCACTTAATTTGACACTTAGCCATTCGTAATCATTTTCTATTCTATTCTCAACTTTTGATTGGATCCGAGTCTAACTACAAATACAATGGACAACTCTCATTCGACACGTATAATCAAAATGAATTCACATATCATTTTCAGATTTGAAACATTCCAAGAAAAGAAAAAATCATTCGCGCTTAAGAAAATGATTATTGAATTTCAAAATTTATAGACCGTCTTTATCTGAAAAAGAAAACAGTTTTGTTTATAAGAACTTCATGACATGATAGGCAAAATCATCAAGTGTTGTATGATTTTCAAAGTCTTCACCTATATATTACCCCAAACATAACATAGCGGTATATGCCAAATTGCCAATTATATACATAAAGTAAATTTTAAAAATATTAAGAAGACAATTCTGAGATTTATTTAATGGATAGAGGAAGGCGTATCGTAACTATCGATGTTTATTATTAATAATTATTTAAATGATATAAAGTATATTTGTTAAAATATTATAGAGGAAATGAGCGTAACGCAATAATCTGAATCAATGTATAGTACTATTAGAAGTATTAAAATAGTAAAATACCAAACTTTCATGCTGGATTAAAATAGTAAAATATCAAACTTTCATGCTGGCCCTCAACAGTGAGTCTTTTTAGTTCTTTTGCTCTCTTGTATGTGTTTTTTCTTTAAAATAAATAAATATTTGTTTGCAAAAAGGTTTCACGTGCACCAAGCGGAGAGATGAGGACATTTGGACCAATATGTGCATTGCCTGATAAAGATCTCATGTGGCATGCAGATATTAATTTTTAAATTTTTTTTAATGTTTGCTTAAAAAATATACGAGAGAGGAAAACTTTTGGCAGATATTGTTTTGGACTCGTTTACATGATTAAAATTTTTCTCTCAAGTAAATATTATATTTTTTTATTTATTAAAAATTTAATTTTTAATTTGAAGAGTGTTAGAGGAGTATTTTTTTCTTCTCTTTTTTTTATTTATCTTATAGTGGGTGTTTATGAATCATTTTTCTTTAATCCTTCATTTCCTCCCACTTCTAGTACTGGAAGTTTTAATAAAAAAGTATAATTAAATAACTTTGAATGGTAAGATGTAAAATTGTACTCCGTGTAATTTTTTTTATAACTATAATATGGCATGGGACAGAGTGCTCCATTGACTTTCTCTATGAGACTATGCCCTTTTAAATACATGTGCTTAGAAGGGTAAAAATAAAATGAAAGAATTAATAAATAAACCCATTAATAAAGTTTGGTACAGAATAGTTGAAAGTTTTAAATTTATTAATTAGGGTTTGACTCTTGAATGCAGATATAAAAAAGACTATACTAAAAGAGGTAAAAACATATTCTTTTTATCAACTATTATATTTGTGGGAGAATTTAAAAATATTTTTTAAATAACTTGCTCTCAAACATTCACTTTTTCTCATAATTGTGTTTGGGTCGTGTGAATAATAAAAAATGTAACTGAAAATAAAACTCTAATAAAAATCATTAACCAAATAACAAAATATGGGATACTTTATACTTATACAATATACACTCATTCAGCAATATTTTTTTCAAAAGAAGAAAATATAATTTAGAATTTTGGAAAAGAAAAAAGATGGATAATATTTAATTTTTTTAGACCTATTATCTCCATAATTGTGAGAAGTAAGATGGTTATTTATTTATTTATTTTTTTTTCATGTATAGGTTTTAACTGTGATGAAATTAAATAATTGCAAAACATTCTTTATTTTTATGATGAATTGATGATTAATTTGAGTGTACTTTACCATGTGTGGTTTCTTTCACAACTTTTATAATAGATATGTGTTTTAAAGAAAGAGTTATGGTGACGCACTTGAATTTTGAATATGGGTGGAAGGACATTGTTTAATTTAATGTTTAGTGAGAATAGCTTTAGCAGAAACGTGTACGGTTGAGATTCTCCCAGAAAGCGGAAGGGCATTGGTTGGTGTCACATCAGACTCTCAATCCTTTTGCTTTTCCATTGCTACACGTCTCCAAGTCGGCAGTCTGCAACCTCCATTATTATGTCCTTCTCATAATACTATTATTATATAACCATAACCAATGCTTTCAAAATATTCAAACTAAAAACATTTTAGGTTTTTGACCAATATTTTTAAAATACCTTTTTAGAAAATACTTTTTTTTATATACAAAATTATGATTAAAATTGTATCTATAATATATATAGAAGAATACCTTTATTTGATTTTTATATATACTTTTTTACATTTATATCTTATTATATATTATTTCTTTTTTCAGGATGAAAAATTTAAATGAAATAATTTATTATTATTTTTTTTTTTTTGAAAATTTTCAAATGTTATATGATGAAATGCTTTGTTAGGATGAAAAATTTATAAAAAAATTTAAATTTAAATATTTGTGAAATTTTTTGAAATGATAAAATTTTAAATTTTTTAAAAATATAAGAATTTGAAATTTTTTTATATATTTTTTCTTACTTATTTTACCTATATAAAAGATATCAATAATTTCTTATTATTAAATATTTAAAATATTTTTTTAAAAAATTACTAAATATCATCTAATATTAATTTTTATAGTTATTAAATATTTAAAATTAGTTAATATTTATTTTTATAAAATTTAATCTTAAAATCTCTTTATATATAGTCATATTTAACATGGTGAAAAAAATTTATGATATCTAAATTAAGAATTTAAAATTTTAAAATTTTGAATCCACTTATCAAAAAATTGAAATTAAAATAATTTAAGTTTTAAGAATTCTAAATTCTTTAAATTTTTTTAAAAAATTTATTTAAAATAAAAATATGTATAAAAAATTAATTATTCACACTATTAATAATAACTATCATTTTATTTTGTAACCATTTTTATTTTTAATTCTTTTAAATTATTTTATTCTCTTTTAAATATACTACCTCATTTTATTTACATTTTATAACTTTCATTATCTTTCCTTTTTTCTTTTTCTTTTTCTTTTTTCTTTTTTAAAACAAAATAAATAGAACCTTGACTCCCCTAATTAAAAGTAACGAGAGTTTGAATTATCATATTATTGGTAAAGAATGTTTTTCTTTTATTAAAGATTAATCTGTATCCATTTTTAATATAATTTTCTCTTTTTTCACGTTTATTTAATCTATTCAACACTTTATTAAGAATTTTAAGTTTAGTTTTAATGGAATCAATAGCATGTGGATGAGAAAAGTGCGTTCGAAAAACTTTAACATAAATTTTTATTTTCAATGCTTGATTAAGATTCTAAGTACATTTATTATCCTTCTTTATGCTTTTTATATAAATATAAATATATATAATATTTAATTATTATAATGCATTTTTATTATTCTTAAGAAAAATATTTAATAATATATCAATTAAAGTATTCTTTAATAAGAACACCCGCTCTGGGTGTGTACATAATGTAATAAAATCAAAAGTTAGAATCACAATAACATGTCGTACGGCTGTTTTCATATTTTATTTTAAACAATAATTTTTTTTATAAGTTTAAGCAACTAATATATTTTAAAGAATTTTTTTATATATAATTATTTAAAATGAATAAATAAATTATAATAGAATAATATATATGTCATACATGTCCAGTTTTAATAAATAATAATCTTTCAATAGTCTTAAAAGTGAATCCCTATTTTATAAAGACAAAATCCGTTACTTTCGGTAAAATCTGAAACGCACATCAAACAAGATAGATTACTTTTAGAAGGGAAAATAAAAAATAAAAATTCAAGAAGCATTTCTTGAAACGAAACCAAAATTATTATTAAAAAAGGTTAAAATATGATGGCAAACTTATAATTTTTAAAAAATATATCAATCAAATATACTTTCTAAAATTTTAAATTGGAAATAAAAAAGATGAGCACGATATCTGATAAGCATAATACTTAAAATTCGATTAAAAAAACTACAATAAATAAAATCCTTAACAATCAATAAAATAGTAACAGTATTTTATTAAAATACATTAATTAAACTGAATTTCTTTGTCAAAAATATTTTATTACAAAAGATAAAATCTAATCTTTGAGTCAAGACATTATTTTTAGAATAGTAGTAGTGTTTTTTTAAATACATTAATTGAACTCATTCTTTTATCATAAAAAAGAAAATCTAATATTTTATTCGATAGATTATTTTTAGAATAACAACATATGGACAATAACTCCTATCATATTATATTTAAAAGGTGGAACATGATTAATAAATAACTTTTTTTTTTTAAATACATGATTAGAAATTCAATTATATTATTGTATAAAATAGCTATTATTAGAAGAGATAAGTTTTTTAATGAATTTTAGTATGTTAGATGATTATTTTCTGATTTTCACATGTGAAAACATTAGTTAATCGACAAAAACTTATGTCACGCCACTCTTTATATATATATTTTTTATCATTTTATTTATTATATTTATTAATATGGAAGAGAGCTAAACATTAAAAAAAAAGAAGAAATTGTTATATAATGTATTATTTTTTGAACTTGATTAAATATTTTGTTTTAAAAACGTGAAGGAGTATGTTATAAAAGAAATGTACTAGAAGTGACATTGTTGTGGTGGTGTGTGGAAAAGCGAAAATGAAAAGGGATTGTTAGTGTGAAGAGACATTTGGACACTTGGCGCATCCAGCAGCCCCTTACAAGAAGCAACGCAGCCAACCAAGTCTCAAGTCTCAACTCTCATCATACCAAATCAGGAATACCTAAGTAACATAAAATAAATACCAAACCTAAGGTAAATGCAGATTTCTTCATTTTTCTTCCTCAATTCTTATCCTCCCTTAAGACACGCAGCCACCAATTCTCAGCCTTATCATGTTACCTTGTGGATACTTGCTAGCAGTTTACTAGGGTTCAAATTTACCTATTTCAATTAGGATCCCAACTCATCTTATTTTTACACTCTAAGTTACAATTTCTACATAGATGTAAATTTATGAGACAATCCAACTGTATCACACTCACATAGATTCAACACTTTTTTATTTTATTCTACCGAGCTCAGTTATAGTCTTTGTTCTTTTTTTTCTATTTTCTAGGTTTTAATTTGGATGTAAATAGTTTGTATCCTACATAATCGATTATTTATCTGAATTTATTGGTAGAAAATTAGAAATCGGATTGTTGTTAATTTTGGTGTGGAGGAAGAGGGGAATTGAGATTTGGATTTGGATCAGGTTGTGATTGTCTTTGCTTGCTCAGATTTCCGGCATGAACTTCAAGGGCTTCGGGAATGAGGCCGCCGGCGGCGACGGCGGCGGCGGCGGAGGGAGGGCGGCGGGGAGCTTCTCCCTGGCGCGGCAGCCGTCGGTGTACTCGCTGACGTTCGACGAGTTCATGACCAGCATGGGAGGTTCGGGGAAGGACTTCGGGTCGATGAACATGGACGAGTTGCTGAAGAACATTTGGACCGCGGAGGAGGTTCAGACAATGGCGTCGGCGGGGGTCGCCGCCGACGACGGCGGCGCCGGAGTGAGCCACCTGCAGCGGCAGGGGTCGCTGACGCTGCCGCGGACGCTGAGCCAGAAGACCGTGGATGAGGTTTGGAAGGACATTTCGAAGGAGTACGGTGGGCACGGTGGGCCCCACTTGGCGCAGACGCAGCAGAGACAGCCAACGCTGGGAGAGATGACGTTGGAGGAGTTTTTGGTCAGAGCTGGGGTTGTTAGAGAAGATGCCAAGCCAAACGACGCCGTTTTTATGGATCTGGCTCGTGCAGGGAACAACAACGCTCTGGGGTTGGGGTTTCAGCAGATGAACAAGGTTGCTGCTGCTACCGGTTTGATGGGTAACCGGTTGAGCAATGATCCTCTGGTGGGTCTTCAGTCTCCTGCTAACTTGCCATTGAATGTTAATGGGGTGAGATCTTCCAATCAGCAGCAGATGCAGAGTCCACAGTCCCAACAGCATCAGCAGCAGCAGCAGATATTTCCCAAGCAGAGTGCTATGTCTTATGCAGCAGCTCAGATGCCTCAGGGAATGGTGAGGGGTGGGATGGTGGGGCTTGGTGGGGATCAGGGTTTGAGTGTGCAAGGTGGAGGGATTGGTATGGTTGGTTTGGCACCTGGGTCTGTTCATGTTACTACTGGCTCTCCTGCTGCGAACCAGATGTCCGGTGATAAGATGGCGAAGAGCAATGGTGATACCTCTTCCGTGTCCCCGGTTCCTTATGTCTTTAACGGTGGCCTGCGAGGGAGGAAGAGTGGGGGAGCGGTGGAGAAGGTGATTGAGAGGAGGCAGAGAAGGATGATAAAGAATAGAGAATCAGCTGCCAGGTCGCGGGCTCGCAAGCAGGTGAATTTTTTCTCTACTATCCTAAATTTAGCTAACATTGTTCTCTTGCATTTGCTCATTCTAATGAACACTTAATTGGATACAAGAAGACAGATTTAATTACTCTAGTTAGAGCATATGAACATCAAATGATTGTATTGCTTTTATCCTGTGTACGGGTATATGAGAGGTTATGTCATGAGTGCTTAATTTAATTAGCTTATTTGGATAAGTTTCGGCCTGCATGAAGCATGTTAAAAGATGCTAAAAAGAGCTCTAGCAGAGTCATAAGCTACTTTCACAAGCTCAATCAAACCCCTTTAATTTTCTGTTTAAATGCCTAAATGATAAGATGAGCCAAAATAAGCTCGATAAGAAGCTCTTCCAAATGCTTCCTTAGTCTCCTTTTACTAAAGTGGATGAAAACTCCTGTTTGTTTGTAACTTATCTTTGGTCTTGCAACCTCCATTTATTGGTCTTAGATAGTCAAATGCCTGCCGTTGCAGACTGTAGATTTTACTTCCAGTAACAGAAAGGAGAGAGCAGTTTCTCTGTTACTGTAACCTTTTTCGTGAAAATATACCACAATTTTCTATTAACAGGGTTTAGTGATATATACAATCTTTTATAAAATCAAAAGAATATGATGACGAGTTGCGTCATGTTATTACTTTACTAATAGTAAATACTGCTCGGCCATTGACGTTCTGCTTTTATCCTCTGTGAACATGCTGTATACCATGAAAGATTATGCAGCAGAATGGTAATATGATAGCGATCTGACATGATGAAAGGTGAAAGATTTTGAGAAGTTACAGTCATGAGAAGTTGTAAAGATCCAGGTTTTTACAAGGTAATTGAACAGCTGATTAGGAAACATCACTAGCAGTTGGATCATCATAAAATCCACAGAAGCATATAATAAGTAAATATGTATTACCTTACCTTGTAAATGGATTTTAGTGGGGACATAACGTGGGAAGGAAGTGCAGATGGAATTTTGTTATATGTATGAAGTTATCAGCTGAAAAATTCAGTCTCACATTTTTATTTTCATTTATTTCAGGCTTATACCATGGAATTGGAAGCAGAAGTTGCTAAATTAAAAGAGGAGAACCAAGAACTTCAGAAGAAACAGGTAATTTTGGCTATTGCCACATGTCACATGCAGACACAGTTGCACACATGTATTTGAATTTATGGCTAAGTTCAGTCACATAACCTGATTGATATTTATTTGGGTACTGCAGGAAGAAATCATGGAAATTCAGAAAAATCAGGTTAGTTTGGCTTTTGGTTTTGTTTTTTTCTTATACAGGATTTTTTTACTCCTTTTTTAGTTTGCAGTCATTGCATGCATTTGTGTTCACCTTAATTATATACAAGTCACAACTTGTTCTTGGATCAAGAGCTGTAACCTTTTCATGACTAAATTGGTTAATACATCATGAATCATGGTTTTAGTTTTCTGCTCATAACAACATACTATTTTGTCAGTCCTCAACTAGATAATTTTTTCCCAAAAAAAGTATACTCCAACTAATGGAGGATTTGACAAAGGTCATTCTGATGACAATATTTGGTCACAAGCTATGTCAATCAACACAAGTTGGTGTGCTTGTCATGTTCAACGTGTGATGAATGAGGTGGTTTGTTTGGTGCAAAATGGTGATATGATGATATACCTGCTTTGAACTACCACCTAATTTAGGTTCTTCCGTTAATTATGTCATGCCATTACTTATTAAAATAAGTGTTTCAGTTCATTTTTATTTGATTAAATATCTATCAATGTATTTTCTGTAAGGATGGCCTTTGCATTTGTAGTGCTTTTCTCTAGTTATGAGCCTTTGTCTCTCCTGACATGTTTTTTCTTCTGTCTTGTACTTCCTCGATGATTGAATTGATTTGATGACCATTTTATGTAAAGCTAGTTCGAAATATGTTTTAATTTATATCATATAACTGAACTGAAAACCCTGTTCAACTAGTAATTATGTATTTTACATTAGTATCACGTGAGAGGCCACATAAGAGAAAGATATATTAGCAATCCAACGTTGATGCACATGCTTTTTTGAGGTCATATATTTTTAATTATGTAAACTAGTTACGGATCAGTTCCTATGTATTATGCCCAAAATGTTTTTTTGGATTAACCTGTAGCTGATTGGGATTGTATTTTCTTTGTTTTTTGGGTGGGTGGGTTAAATTTTGTTACGTTTCTTTTATTCTTTGTAACTGTAACCGGGTTGAGGAGTGTTTTAGGAATTTCCTGAACTAAGAAGTCTATGATTTTCCTTATAGAGAAATTCCAATTATGAGTGGTGCATGTACTTCTGTTTATATTCCTTGTTGGATATTTATATCCAACACACAATTCTAATTTTTCGTCATATTAGCCTGTTAAGCCTCAAATTTCCAATTCTTTTGATGAGTGCAGTATGAGTGATTATGAACTAGCGAATGTCACATTGGCAAATTCTTTTTTGATGAATGTATTTCATCTGCATCGTTGTGTTAATATATGACTATTTGCACTCTTTCCAAATCAATGAAATCATATAAAGCTGAAACATACGATTTTCAAACTCAAACCCACTACTTCCATTTAAATGCAAGATTTGCATGTAAATTTATTAATGGATATTGGTCTGTACATGTGTGGCTTCCTTACAGACCTGTATTGCATCAGATTGTATTTCTATTCTTCCTGTAAAAAAAAGGTGATACATGAAGTGCAGGCTACATTTATAGTTTTCTGTCATTACAATTTGATGCAACCTTAGTAATGAATTTCCTGGCATTTGGTAACATTGCAGGCTAAGGAAATGATGAATTTGCAACGAGAAGTGAAGAGAAGACGCCTAAGACGAACACAAACTGGTCCGTGGTAGATTGAAGATTGTACTATGATTGCACCATTAAAATATATGTACATAGTTATAAAAACGTATTCTGCTGTAGATTGAGGCTCTGGTAGTTTAGGGATTAGCACTTGATTCGACGTCTTACTTCTCTTTTGAACACATGTTAGGGAGCGTATGCAATGCATGGTACCATGAGAATATGTTTCAGCACATTTCTCGCCACCATTGGTTAGACAATCTTCTTGTGCAGTAGCACTTTCGCTGAATTTGATTCGGTGAGAGGCATTCTATGTCCATTATATGAACTTATCTTCATTCGCAATAGTTTTTTAGACTAGTCATTTGCAAGTAGGATAATTCATTGGATTAGGTCAATTCAATGAATTTGATAATCTCAATTGAATTTATTAAATTAGTTTGGATTTTTTTTTTGTTCTGGTCTAATTTGAATCAAATCAATTAATTTTGATGTTGATTGGTTTGAATATTAAATTTATAAATTTAAAATTCAAACCAAATCAATTAATTTATATATTATTTATTATTTTTATTTTTAATAATTAATATGTATGTATTATTTTGATTATTTTGAAGACAATTTTGTATTATAACATGTAGATTTTTTTCATTATTTTTTCAAATACCTAAAGAAATCAAGAATTATATTGTAAAATACTAAATGTCATTTTTACATTTTGTAGTGTATTTAAAATTTTTAAGTAGATTAAGAAACGAAACAAGAGGACATATATTACAAATATGTAAGTTTAGTTAATTTTTGACGATATATTAATTTAGTTAATATTGAAAATTTGTTTACTTCGAGAAAAATAATTATTTTTTAATTTTTTTTTTTAAAAAATCATTTGATATCTAATGACTTGAATCAAATTAACTCAATCAACATTGGATTGGTTCGAATTGGGATAAGAAAAAAATTTATGAAATTTGAACCAATTTAAACCAATTACTGGATTGAATTTTCATCCAAACTTGTATCACTGTATTCTAGTTTAGTGTTGTATGTTGGGTGAGTTTGAGAAGGTTTCTAGCTCAAGGTGCAAAATTGATCTTAAAAAGAGGAAGTATAAAAGGTTTCTTTTGAGAATCGAGTCTTATAAGCTCAATTTCTTAGAAATCATAGAGAGAGGATAGGGTGAGAAGTTCTAGTGACTAAGTCTTCCTCTTGTTGTTGTTATTCTTCTTCTTCTCTTAGATTCTTAGGAACCTTAGAGTTGTGATCTTGTTGCTTGTGGTGATTCAAAGCTACTTGAAGTTGAGAATCTAAGTTTGGGTGGTTGTGGAGCTAGTAAAAGCGTGAAGTTCTTCCTTCTCCTCTTCCTTGCTTTCGATTTACTTGGAGTCGAGGTAACGAAAGCTAGACTAGATTCTTGTTATATTGTTGGGCTAATTGTGCTAATTTGACTGTTGATTTTGGTTGCAATTGCTTGGATGAATTACATGATCTAACTTAGAATTGTTTTGGGCCTTTGGGTTTTGGTTCCCAAGTGAAGAAATTGGTGGAATGGATTTATCTTTTGTTGCATGCGTGATTTGAACTAGGATTTGAGTTATAAATGATGTATTTGAATGAAACATTACAATTGCATGCTTGTGTTGGTTGGTTTTCAGGTGGATGAGGCAATTTTTGAAGTCTGCAAGTACAATTTCTAATATGATATTAGGCGTGCCTTTATGGTGTTAGGCCTAGTTCAAACAAGAGGTCTATATCTTGATCACGTCGGACGCCGGATTGGTGGGATCGGGTGTGAGAAGAAAGACTCGTCTCAGGTTAGGATGGTGACAAATGTAGTGTGAATGACGCCAAGTGTGAAAGCATTAGAAAGTCTTTGACTTAGTGATGTTGAGTCCCAAATTAGGTGACGCCAAGTGTGATCAAGGTAGAGGCTCTTTGCCTAGATGACGCCAAGCATGGTGAGATGACGTCGAGCGCGAGTCAAGTAGATGCTCTCTGTTTAATATGAGGTTAGCGCATGGATTTTTCCATGCTCTTTGTTCAAGGGTTCCCTAGCTTAGTCACATCGTGCGTGGGTTGAGTGACGTTGAGTGTGAGTGAGGCAGAGAGTTTCCTACCTTAGTGGCACTCAATGCGAGATAAGTTGCATCTGCCACGAGTAGTTTTGATGATACATGATGTTTGATGAGTGAATTGATGAACATGAATAGAGTAGTTGAGCCTATTACATGTTGTATGATGAATGTTGAGTTTATATATATTAATCTGTGATGATATATGTAGATGTTGTATGATGTTTTTGGATGATGAGCATTGATATGCTTTGTGAGATTTATATGCTATAATTGCATGATTGATGTGTGGATAGACATTGATATGCTATTATCGAATAAGTTGTTGAGCATTGGTATGATAATTATGATTGATGTGATTTAATTGCTATATGCATTGACCTGAGGTAGTATATATAGATAATGTATGTTAAGGTGTTGATATTGAGAATGTTGTAGGCATTAAAGCATGTTGATTGGCTTAAGACTAGAAGAGAGAGTGTTGTTTGAAAGTTGAAGATTCCATATAGGGAATCTTGTTTTGACGCTCTTGGAGGCCAATTGTTGAAAATCCTCCTTGAGTAGATGTGAAACTCTTGGAGTAGATTTTGTTAAGTCTCCTCTAGGTCCTTAGTTAATATGAAGTAAAGTATGAAGTTGAGGACTGTCACCCTTAACTGATGACTAGAAAGGTTGCATGGTTCCTTGTGAATAGTTAGTAGGCTAACTCCATATGTGACTTGATAATGTATGTCAAGATTGTGGTATGCCTATACCCAACTATACTAATCCTGGTGGTGGAATCGAACTTTCCTAATATAAGTAACGACGCCTTACAAATGAGAGGTATGGATTAGTATCCCATTTTAGTTGTTGATCCAGCAAGTGCATTGGGCATGAAAGCAATCGGGTTGGTTCTGTGGGGTTAAGCCACTTTGATTGTTTTAAAGTATTAGGATATCTTCATAGGTGAATGTGTGATGACACATTAGATGTGATGTTTACATATGATGTGGTATGAGTTGATAGTGTTCATATGCATGGTGTGAATGCCTTGATGGATGGTATTATTGTGGTGAAGGTTTGAATTTGCTTCGAGTGTTTAGCTTTCAAAGATGTTGGTGTTGTGTGGTTTGGTGAATGTTGTGGACCATGTGATGTGTTTTTGGTTGGTTTACATGTTGGTGAGTAGTATAGATGTTCCTTCCTATACTTGTATATTTTTTAAATCTAGTTTATCCTTACATATTTTTTTTTTTTGTGGTTTGAACTACAATAATCATGATTTTTATGGAAGTAGGGTTAGAATTAACTAAAAAGAGCTTTTGGAGTTGCAGTGAGACCATGTTATTGGCGATGTAGTCATGTTATTGATTATGTAATCAACGACTACTTTTGTTGGTCTGTGTAGATATTGCTTGACCGACAACTTACAAGTTTTATATTATGTATTTATTGGATTCTTGTATATATATTTGTATAATTATTTTAACTATATATATATACATATATATCTTCATATTATGATTATATAATATTTAGTAGTTACCACTAGAAATAGTTAATTTATAAATGTGATAATCATGATGAATTGTTACAAACTCCAAACCAATCCGACCCGTGAATACTCCTATTTGTGTGCTACAGAGACCTCCCATTTTATCATTTGCATCAAGAATAATGCAATATTCACAAATTTTATTATCTTATAAAGAAAGTATTAAATAAAAAATAATACATTTAATATTTTGAGAATATAAAACATAGTATTTAACATTTATCATGAGAAAGAAGTAGGACAATAGTCTAAAAAGATTTAAAATAAAAGTTAATAATTCATACATTACGAGTGTAAAGTTTTTTACACTGACAATCAATCATATCTTTTAAATTATTTTATTTTATTTTTATTTCATTAAATAAATAACTGACATGATACTATTAAAAAATATTATTAGTTGCCAGTATAAATTTTTTTTACACTAATAGTGCATAGGTAATTATCTCTTAAAATAATTTATACGTCAATGAAGAGTGAGACACATTTTCGACTCTCAGGGAGAGCGTATAATACATGTTCTTTAGGTGGGTGAAGTAATTAAGTGCCTGTCTGGTGGACGTTACCACCACTTGATCCATATCTAAGTTGAAGCAACAGTTTTAGCTTCTGCATATACGTTGATAGTTGACGTGAAAAGTAGGCCTACACTTGAGTCACGAATGTGTGTCCAAACGCAAGTAAACCAAACTATGTGTGGCTGTAACCTTATTTTAAAATTCTTGATATTTAAGTTTAATGAAGATAGATTAAGGCGTATTTTATAAATATAAAATATTAAAAAAGTATTATTTGTGCAACAAATTGTATTGATATGACGGAAGAGATAAAGACAAAAAAAATGTATAAATTTGTTGTGAGTTGTATGAATAACATGTCTCATTGATGTATTTAGTTATAAGATATAAATGTAATTTGTTGTTTGTTGAAGCATTTTTTAAATAAATTGTAACTTTGTAAGTGCAATTTTTTTTAAAGATGAAATCTAATTATATAAATAGGGATAGTAGTAATAAACAAGACGTGAAATTTATAAAACATCGATAATAACTATTAGTCATTAAATCTCTAAATTCAAGGATTTATCAATTTTAATCTCAAGATTTCTCATTTTGATTCCTAACTGTAATAACTATTAGTCAGCTCGGTCCATAATTTTCATATGCATCAATTAATTAATTAATTTATTATCATACAAGACTAAAAAGGTAATAATAAGATGCAGACTTTGTAAATACTATCTTAATTAATTTTACCCTTAACTGTCTCTACTATTAGGAATCAAAGCAGACCAATGATTATCAAAATAAAAACCAAATTAATGATAAATGTTAAATTTGTAGATTAAGGTGCCAAATTCTGTAATGAATCAAATTAACCCTAATTTTAAGGAAATATTGGTAATTATTAAAATTAGAGACTACAGTTACGTTTATTTCAAGTTATTAACTTGTATTTTTTATATTAACACTTTCAAAAATATAATAACGAAAATGACATGCTTGAATGTTTTAAAAACAAAAAAAGTTTAATTAATATTAAAAAAATAAAAGAAGAATCTAGAAAAAATCAAAAAGAAAATAAAAGTTATATATATATATATATTAAATAACACCGATATAACTTTTATCAATTATTATACTACATAATAACTTTATATTAAATAATTTTTTTTCAATCCAATAGTATACCTTTTGTAAGAATGTTAAATGTTCAAGAATAAGATTTTAATCCTATAACAAACAATAAAAAATAATCCCTATTCATATATTTTTTAAAATATAATAAAATAACTTGAAACAAATACCTTTTTTAAGTCTATTTCCTTTTATAATTTAGAGAATTATAATTTCAAGTACTAATTTCACACATACGTAATCTAAACCAACATAAATACAATCAGCCTGATTTTGCATTTTAGTTCCACGAAGGTGCGCGTTACAACGCAGCATAGCTGTACGAGTAGAGACGTTTTGATTGATTAATTGAGCCTTCAAAGAGTAAATCAAATGCTTAATGGCTGAATTGAATTATACAGCAGGCTAGCACTCCCCAGGAAATCACTCTGCGCTATAAACTACAATCAAACTCAAGCTCCTAAGACAATAAATTATAAGTAAAATCCTAGTGCTTAAAGATTACAATAATATCTAATGCAACAACCAACTAGTTGTAATAATGCCCTTAATCCTTAAAAATTCCGCTAACAGGAAAACATCTGGTCTTTGCAAGGGATTCCACCCATGATGTCTGCTCCAAACTGAACCTCAACTAGCTGCTTTTGCCAGAACGTAGATCATAATAAAAATGAATCAAGTAATCATCAGCTGAAATGACCCCTTCAAAATCAAATTTGGATCCTCTCCATTTCTAGTCATCCATTTCTTCATTATAGTTTTGAGTGTATAAATGAGATAAATATTTTTCGTGATAAAAATTTAATGTCATTTATACACTCCAAAGACAAGAAATGGAGAGGATCTTAACTCTTCAAAACCTCTCAGTATCTCGCCAGTTTTTTGGTTGTAAGTCAAGAACAATGATGTCCAATGGTTGGCTGAACGCGTATTACAGATGTACAATGTCCTTATCCTTGCAATAATAGTAAAGCTGAGCACCATTTCCATAGCATCCATTTGTCACCTCCACAGCTGAACATTACTACTTGGGACAATTTGGGGGGACGTCTTCACATGAGATCATTATTGTGATCCTTTCCATTGAAAGAACCGTACAGGAACCTACCATTATTAGGGACGGCTAGAATTGAAGTTCATGTCTTTCCAGGATATCATCTTTCTGCGGTCCCGTCCTCTAAAAGATCTACCCAGGAATCTACCATTAACAGGCTTGCATAAGCCAACATCAACCACGGAAGTACAATTTGTCCTTTCAGATGATGGAGACGCCTCATCCAAATAATAGTCGAACAACATAGCGAGACAACTCACTTGATGAGCCAATATATAATTTTGTTGATCGACAGGTAGCATCCTTATTATGTGCAGATTGACCTACAATTTATAAAGGGAAGCACAAATAGAGACCATGAGTAGGAGAGAAAGATCAAGAAATAGGTAAACTTGCATGATGCAGAGATTTTATGTGTTTTTCTCCTCTTTTCTATTTTACTTTTTTTTCTTTTGCTTATGATTTTAACGGGGAACAGTGGGGGGATGGGTCACAGTTTTCTATCATGAACATATAGTCACATGTGGTTCTAAGAAGCTAAATTATTGGTATGCAACTATGCATTACCGTCATATGATTCCCATTCCTTGAAGAATCATATTCACACAAGACAGTCTAATAAATTTAATGCAGTGAAACATCTTGAGCGATCAGTTACTCACCTCTGCTTCCATTGCACGAAGTTCATTGTACCATTCTAATCCTGTCCCATCATGGTTTTCCCCAGAGGATATACAGCAAATACTCAATGCAAAAAGAGGAGGCCTTAAAGGATATTCCATGCTGATCTTGATCTATCAAAAACATAAAAGCATAGATGAAAATGCCAATAGATCACTGAATTCAACTGGGTAGATAAAGAACAAGCTTTTATTTACCTTGGCTTCTAAATTCACATTGCTCTCATCAGCAGTGATTTTTCTGCAAAGAACTAGGCGAAATTCCCTGAGCCCATAATCCATCCATGACACGGACTTTCTGGATAATATATTTTCATGTTCTTGTTCAATCTGTGCTGGCTCATCAAGATCACTTTCAATATCCAACAAGAAATCAGAACTATCATCAAGTTTTTTGAAACTCTGTGACCTGATTTTATTGAGTGGAGGAATGATACTTTTTGAAATTAAGTTCAGTTGTGTGGAATGGTCAAGCTTAGACATGTTAGGAAGCAACGTTGGAAGCTCCCCATCTTCTGTTATACTCTCCAGTTCTGCTTTTGTGGCACCAGATCGTTCATTTATATCAGCATCCATTGGTTCCTGAACATGCTCCTCTTTATCTACGACAGCAGGAGATGAGGATTCTCTAGGGACAGGTGGAACTCTTACAGGTGACCAACTATCCAAATTACACAGAGGAGTGTGCAAAGCCCACGGAACACTTTTGCAGGACAGATGAGGCCACTCAAGCTTTGTCAGAGATTCTAGCTGTTCCCTGTAAGCCAGTGAAAGAATTCAACAAAGTTGAACTTAAGTGTGCCCAACCACATCGATAAGCAAGATAATCAGAGATTCTCGAAAATAGAATGGAATTTTACTGAACATAGGTTTTGCACAACCAGAATTCACAATGGGGAGCCAAACAAAGAAACAATACTAAGGCATCAATAACAACTTTCGGTTGATCAAATTATGGTATTTATCTTAACTGAATATCAAGAAATGCCCTTCACAATCTAAAACTGTAAATATACTAGAAAAGTGACTCACAGAAGAGCCAACTGAGCTTTTCTTCTTGCACGGATTCTCTGCAGAACTGTCAGTACTCGGTTCTGCTGACGATATAGTGAAAGACCAGATATAACATTTTCATTCTTGACCGCTCCATCATTGTCTGTAAGAATCAAGGGAGACACCTCAGGCAAGAAATCAATCCCTGCAAGGTGCTGAGCCCATTTGTAAGGACGTGAAGTTCTTTGTGTATCGAATGTTTTAGCATCCTGAACAATGAGTTTGGCTGACTGTATCGCCATTCAAATAGAAATAAATAGCATATAAATAAGTTAGAGAATAGATGAAAGATGTGCAGAGAAAAAAGAACAAGCCAATAAACGTGTAAAGAAGACAGCAAAACCTGGTGAGGAAGCTCAAGACCCGTATCATTAGGGAACAAATTGCACAAGATGTCATTCTCTGGACCATCATTAGATCCTTCTATTCCAACGCATACAACATTCAACTTCACCATGTACTCAAACCTTAGAGTAATGAGTTTTGCAGAGTTAGGACCAGAAGTCTCATCTTCATACAGATGGATAATGATTTTAAGTGGATGAGCTTGAAATATTCCACCCTGATCAAGGCTATCCTTGACTTGAACCCTCCTTGGCCTTTTCCTCCGTCTCTGACCATCTTCTTCTTCATCAGGAGCATCATCTTCCAATTTGGAACTATCAGCGGTAGAGGACATGTCTGAGTAATAGAACATCATAGTGAATCCTTAAATTTTCCATTTTGGTTCAGTGCAAACAACAGAGATCAATTTGAGCACTTGGTATTAGATATTCCAAAACCAAGTCAGGCACATGAATAGAAATATTGCAAATATTTAATCATCAATTAAAATAAGCCAAGGAAACATGAACTGAAAACCATTAATAAACATGACATATGGAAGTACTTCAATACTGATAATAGACTTTCTTTCCTTCATTTGTATGCATTGTTAGTTTTAAAACAAATGATAGTTTTTAAGATCTAACAATGTCCTGAAAAATATTATTGGAGTGAAGTTCTGGTTTAAAGTTGAATCATAGAAAAGATAATGCTCATAGTTATAAATTATAATCCTGTGTCCGTGGATATGCTGCCAGCTGCAATAGTACTGATAACATAGATTCAATCCAGATAATGCTAAAATTCACATATCAACTCTTAATTACCGGTGTCCTTGTGAGCTTGTTGACGAGCAAAAGCTTGAGCATCTTTCAGGCTTCCTACAATCTCCAGATCAATGGGTTCTCTAAAGGCCTCCTTTTGAGCCAACAGTTGTGAGTAGATCACATAAAGGGCTGGAGGAAGCAACTCTGCCGAATGGTGCTGCTTTAATCTCTTTGTATGATGAAGCCCTAGCTGGTTTTGTACTGGCAAGGAAGCCTTCTTAAGAGACTTGAGATGTGAAGGGAGACTTGTCAGGAACTTCTTTCGGTTTGAAATAGTCTCCAAAAGAATTTTCTTTTGTTGTTCCAGTTTCTCGTGAAGTTTGCAGAGTTCTTTGCGCTGATACAAAATTGCAAATAATAATCATAAGCATATCTTGTCAAATTTACAAGAAAAATTCAAAGAATGCAGCTTATTAAAGGGTTCTATTATTCTCACCCTAAGTTTAGATGAGTGAAAATAGAGAAAAATAAAATGGAGAAAAAAGCAATACACTAGAAACATTTCACCCCCAAGTTGCAGTGAAATTTGGGGAAACCTTTTTATTTACTTTTTTTTGTTTTAGTTTTTTAAAAATTAAATATTCTTTTATAAAACACATAAATAATTTTATGCCAAGAAAAATTAATACAGTAAAAATTCTAAGATTTTTAATTATTATAAAAAGTTATTATCAAACTAGCAGAAAGAAATTTCTCTAAATCTTTCCCTCTTACTTTTATTCATCCAACCAATACACCTTTTCTACTTTATTTCTTTGTCCTTCTATTGTTCCTATTTTTTTCTGTCTTGTTTGTCTCCTCAATATTTCATTTTTGGATGCATTTGGGAGAACTTGTTTACCGCTTACTTAGCTTATCTTATGACATAAGAAGCTTACTTAAAAGATTGACTAAAATGACATGACCACACTCATTTAACATGTAAGCACAATATACATGGTTCCATATAGAATCAAATACATACATGTCCTGAAAAACATAGAGGTGCAACAACAAAAGCCTACCTTGTGTTTATCCTACAATCCTTTTTCACTATAAAAGCATTAACTTCTAGCCAAGGTTTTAAAAGCAGTAAACCAGTCCACAACTGAAATTTCAGTCAAAACATAAGATTTTTGCACGCAGCAGCAATTGAGAGTGCTTTTATCCACAATGTCCCACACAATATCAATTATCAAGAGCCACAAAATTATGACTGCAATTTAAAACCTTGCTTCTAGCTTATCAATACAAAATTTATATTGAGGACAGAGGCACGCTAAATAAACTAATGCAATTGAATCCACTACAATAAAAACATATAATTATAATGCACACTTGTGTCACTTCCATCAATTTCATTTGTTCAATCCACCTAATTGCAAATTGTGAAGCACACTCGCTAGGTTAGGATTTTCGCAACAGAGTATCGCAGAGTCACCTGGAATAACTCGAAATTGAGCCTCCTGAGCATGAGATTGTGCGCAGCGTCGCTTGACAAAACGGAGTCCTTGATATCCTGTGGAGCGTCGCGGAAAAACTCCTCCTCGGGAACGAGGTCAATGTCGGGATATTTGGACTTGAAGTCTTTGCAAGCCTTGATTGCCTTCACGTAGTGGCTTTTCTCGTACATAAGGTTGTGAAGCTGCAGCGATGTGAAATCCACGGGAGCCTTGGCACGCTCCGTTTCGGTTTTCACTCTGTCTTCCTCAAGCAAGATATTGCGATTTGCCTGAAAACAAAGGAAGAGAGTCATAAACCCTAGACTAGAGAATAAGAGTTGCGAAATAGAGTACCTGGCGGAGAGTGACGAAGTGCAGGAACATTTGAGTGACGAGATCTCGAAGGTGTTGTTTGGGTTTAGCCTCCTTTTTAATGGAGAGAATATCGGCGACGATGTTCTCAACGGAAGTCTTGCTGGTACGCAGGATTTCGAAGGGCGATTCCTCCAATTTGCGCGGCTCTGAGGATTGTTCATCTTCGTCTACACCACCCATTGGTCCCTCTTCTATTTCACCGTCTTCCATTGATTCTAGACTCTGTCACAACCTAGCCCTAAACCCCTTTCTCTCGAATTATTTCGATTTTGCAAGGCTGCGCTTGAGACTTGAGAGTATGCTCATCAATGTCCCTCGCCAGTCACAGCCACAGCCACCTGGGTTCTTTTGCGGTTTAAGTTTTATTATATTTTCAAAATTAATTAAATGATTAAAAAATGTGTTCACATGCAATAAAACAATTATTTTGCTGTAAAAAAACATTTCATCTAAAATAATAACTGAGGATGGAAATTAAAATAATAATATAAATATTATTTTAGAAGAAAAACATCTTCACAATAGTCATATTCTGCTCAATTACATGATGAAAAAAAAAGGAAGATAAATTAAGTCTATCTACTAAAAAAAGGATTTTTTGAATTTGATTTGTTCAATAAAAAAAATTTGATTTGAAAAATTTTCTTGATGATCTTTGTCTAGGTTAAAAATTTTAAATTATTATTTGAGTGATATATATGAAGTTAGAAGATATTGTTTGTAAAAGAGTTTTTATCAACTACAAAAAATAAATTTTCTACAAATATAATTTGAGGATACATTCAAAAACTTAATCAAATTTGATATTTAAAATATGGGTTGGTTAGAATATAGTCAAAAGGAGGAGTTAACATATTGTTTATATATGAGATCTCATGTTGGGAACATAAAGGTAGTAATGATGTATTCATAACAGGAGGTTTTATAAATTAGAAAGAAAAACAAAAGCGTCAAGTTCCAAGTTCAAATTAGAGGTCCAAATAGTTTTCATAATCAAGCATGAAGGAATTGTCAATATTTGGTGAAACAAAAATAACATATTGAGATTACAAGTTGTAAGTAGTCTAATCAAATTAAAAAGAAATATCAAATTCATTTGACTACAATAGTTGACTGCATTTGATTTTTATTGTGTTAAGGATTAACTTTTCGTGATAATGATAAGTCAATATCCTCAAGTAATAAGGGGAAATTTCTAGACTAAAATCAAGAAGGCAAGAGATACTAGATGGAGCTCGTATTATAGTACATTACTTAGTTTATTTTTCTTTTACAATTCCATGATTGATATGTTTGAAATAGTTAAGGACGATAACATAAGTTTAGAGCAAAAAGGGGAAGCATGTGTTTTATTGAATTCTTTACAAGCTTTTGAATTTATTTTCACCTTGCATTTGATGAAAAATGTTATACCCATTTTTTTTATTATTATTTATTAATGGAATTTTCGTAAATTTTTATAAAGGTATAGGGTGTTTTGGTAATTTGGAACGGGCTGTTTCAAAAGCGGAACGGGCCGTTCCAAGCACAAAAAAATGAACTAGGTTTAAATTTTGGAACGGGCCATTCTGGAGGGAGTACGGGCCGTTCCGGAAGGAGAATGAGCTGTTCTGGATGAGTCCCAGAACGGGTCGTTCTGGTTTTGGAACGGGCCGTTCCAGTTCAAAAATTTGCGTAGATTTAAAGGGCCCAGAACGGGCGTTCCACTTTTGGAACGGGCAGTTCCGGGTTAGGTCGGCAGAAGTCTATAAATAGGGGGCTGGGGTTGAGAAATGGAGAATCTGAGAGAAGGACATCCTAGAGAGAGAAAGAGGAGAGAGAGAGAAAGAAAGAGAGAAGAGGGGAAAGAAAAGAGGAGAGAGAGGAAGAGAAATCCAGAGAAGGAAGTTCTGTTAGAGTGAAGAAAAGAGGAGGGAGAGGAGAAGGTTCTGCCCTAGTTTCGATTCCTATTTATCCAAGTAAGGGTAGTACTTATAAGACTTAATCTAGTATGTATGAGCATGATAGGGGTAGTATAACTTTTAATATGCTATTTTGTTTATATGAAGATTGTCATTTGTTTAATTTGATGGTTGTTTTAGGTGTTTAATTATTTATGTTATTATATTGAATGATTTGGCATGGTTATGGAAAAGTTTGTATGTAATTATGGAATATGCTATGTATGTGTGGTTTGGAAAGCTAATAGAACTTAGAGGAGTAAGGTTATGGTATGGATTAGATCTCTTGGTGAGGTCAGGATATAATCTTTGGAAAAATATGGAATTAGGAGTCCCATGGTGAGGATTCCAATATGGAACTTTTCCAAAGGTTATATAATAAACCACTTCAGATGTTAGGTGGATTCTGAAGTACTCCTCTAAGTATTCTATTTGCTACCGGTATGGGGGCAAGGCCGAGTCATACCGATGGATGAAGTGGCCATGATCACCAGGGTTACGTGACGACGTAATCCAACTGTATATTTTCCATGAGAGGTTAGGTGTGTGACATGGGTTGATGACATGTTTCACCGAATCAACACTTGGTTTGGATGTGTTGAGGCCAACATTTGGTTTGGATGTGTTGGTTACATCATGGATTATACAGTGGTGTGACTTTGTTTTGGATGTGGAATATGTATACATATGGTATGGATTGTATACATTGGTTATGGATTCTTTATTATCATAAAATATGTATGCATTGGCATGGATGTGTATACATTAGATTCTGGATTGGTTTATATTTGGCATGGAAATAACTGTTTATAATGTTCATTTCTTTGGTATGGATACATACTGTTGATGAATATCTAGTTTAATGATATTCTATTTTATTGTACTATGGTTGGTTTTATATGTGCTAACCCTTATATTTCCATGATGTGGACTGTGATGATCTCACTATGTGGGGGAGCAGATCAGGTGTGAGGCTTTGCGATAACAAGGAGTCTTTTAGGGTAACTACTTTAAGAAGTGGCTAGACTTAGAGCTTGACCAGCACCTAGGGTGTTTTATTTTGGTGTCTTCATGACGTTGTATATTCATTATCTTTTTGGATTACTGTATAATCATTACTGAGGATGATGACTCTGCTATAAAAATATGTTATATATGTTGGAAACAATTTATATATTATTGTAGGCTTTTTGACCAAAGTAGGGTCGTTGACCAAGTTATTTACGTAAATGAGGCTGTTTTGAATTTATTTACACCTTTGGGGCTCTTTACAACTGTGTCGCTATGGCCCATAGCGACACCAGTGCCACGTAGCATTTTATAAACTTCAGGAAAGCCATGAAAGCCATATTAATAGTGTCGCTACAGCCTATAGCGCCACAAAACAGCTTCAATAAAGTCGATGTAGGCTAAAGCGCCACATATATAAAAAACAATTATTTTTAATAATAAAAATGTGATAAAAAACAAATTATTTAATAATTTTTTTTAAAAAAATAGAAATATAGTGGCGCTGTAGGCCACAGCGCCAGTTAATCAAAAATTAATTTTAATAATTAAAATGTGATAAAAAAACAAGTTATAATTTAAAAAAAAAAGGAAACAGAACCTACAGCCTAAAGCACCACATATATAAAAAAACAATGTATAAAATAAATTTATAATAATTAAAATGTGATAAAAAAGAATTTAAATTTTTTTTAATAATTAATTTTTTTTTTTAAAATCAGAAATATAGTGGCGCTGTAGGCCACAACGGCACTAATTTTTTTTCTCTCTCTCCCACCCTCTCTTTTGTATTTCTTGAGATTTGTGAGAAACCTCTGTAGTGTGAAAGGTAGCCAAAAAGCACCTTCTTGATCATCATATTCAAAGATTCATCTCATTTGGTATCGTTCTTTTCTTAACTTTTTTTTCCTTCTTTCTTTTATTTATTTGTTTATTTTATTTTTTTATTTATTTTTTGTTTATTTATTTATTTATTTATTTATTTTTGTTTATTATTTGTACATAGTGAATATGATTTTTTGCCTTTAAGATTATTATTTATAAAAATATTTAATATACGACCAATAATAATGTTAATTGAATAACATTTTTATCTTTAACATTATTAGGTCCTGGGGGTTTAATGACTAGTCATTTGCTAGCTTAAACTGTCCTTAACAAATTTGTTTTTTTTTAAATAAAGATATGTTGCAACCAATAACGTTAATTAAGTAGCACTTCTATTTTTAACGTTATTGGAGGGATTTATTGATTAGCCATTTGCTAACTTGAATCCTTATGCAAAATCTATTTCTTTAGATAAAAATATAAAAATATAAACATAATTTTGTTTTACGTATACATTATTTTTATAGTTAATAATATTAATTGAGTAGCATTTCTACCCTTTAATATCATGTAAATCATAAAAGAATAATTATTTGTTGTCCTAACCTTTAAGCCTATACAAATAAAAATCAATAACATTGATTGAATATCTTTCATGTTATTGGGAGGGTTTATTGATTAGCCATTTGCTAACCTAAATCCTTATGATTTATTTTAATAAAAAAAAATACAAAAGAAACATCTCTCTCACACACACACACACATATATATATATATATATATATATATATATATATATACCAATGGTTGGTGTTTATCCGGAGGGTCCATGATTGTTGGAGGTGTGTAGTTGGGTGGAAGGCCATATGGTGGCCATTTGACCTCTGGAGGAACCACTTGTTGGTCGGGTCTATTAAGATGTAGAGCTTGTCGTTGTGATGAGTTTGGGGTAAAACCAGGTGGATACGCAGAGAAGTTGACGATTCTCCTCTAGCTACTGGAGGGGTCCCTTCAACATTTTTCACTTTTATAGACTGCTAAATTAGAGTTTTATTTATTTTATTTGCATATCTGTTTGTTACCCCACACACCCACTAACACTTGTACCTTACACACTTTGGGATCTATACCCGAGCCTGTGCGAACCTAAGAAGAGAAGGTGGCTTGATGACTGTTATTGAGGGGCTTAATGCTCACTTGACCGTTATTGAGTTACTGCTCAGGTTGTTACTAGTAGCATGGGTTAATCATATTGAGAGGGTATGTTCCCTACTTGTGATTGATTCATGTGCTAGGTCCTTATTTATATGATAAGGGCAACCTGGGGACCAATAAATCTTGAGGAGTTTTTAGACCCACCCACAAAACCATGCACTAATAGGTGGACTTAATGACCTTCCAAAGTAGGGTGTTAACCTTAGAAATTTCCTACCCTAGGTTTACCGTAATAGGTCACATTGTACTACTCTCTATCCCTCTTTTTGTATGTTCATACTAACAAAAAAAACATGTTAATACATTCATGCATCATACATTTATATCCAATATCATTTTTTAGGTTGCTTT